CTGGGATCGAGTCCCACATCGGGCTCCCTGCTCTGCAGGGAGCCTGCTTCTCCCTCTCCCACTCCCCCTGCTTGTGTTCCCTCTCTCGCTGTGTCTCTCTTTGTCAAATAAATAAATAAAATCTTTAAAAAAAAACAAAACAAAACAAGACCCAGCACACTTTAAATATAAAGACAGACTAATACACCAACTTGCACTTTCAGTTCCGAAAAAGAAAGAGCTCACAAACCATCACTTCCATCCTTACTAGAAAAAGCTGGACAAACTGAAAATCAGTTATTTTTCTTAGACTCATCAGAACACTGAGGTTGCAGGGCAAACCCACCCCAAAATATGGAGAGTCAAGAGCATCTAGGGAGACACAGTCAAGATCTGTCTACCTGGATAGAAATCCTAGAGCTATAATACACTGGCCAGAGCATTTAAATGGTAATTTTGACTAATTGCTAGAGTATGTGTGGAGGATTAAAGTAGTATAAAATAAATATCCAGGAGTCCATACTGATATAAATGAATGATTGAATAGATGCTTAAATAAGAGAAAAGAGACAAATCTTCCATCCAGGAAATTCCAAATAATTTATATAGATACTGTGCCTTACAGGAGATGTGAAGGCTCTAAGTATGGGCTGCACATGACTTACTTCCAAAAAGCACAAGGGGAAAGCATGGAGAGTGGCGAAAAAGAGGAACTTTGTAAGTGGAGAAACCTGACAATACCATGTCACTCAGGTGATAAAGGTCAAAATCTATAATGATAAGTTCTGTTGTTAGCATGTACTTTTGATATAATGTAACAAAAATGACACATTTCATCTGTAGTTTTCCTGCCAAAAACCTAAAACTACAGCCTAATTAGGAGAAAAAACTTCAGACAAATCGCAGCTTAGGGATAGTCTACAAAATATCTGACCAGGAATCCTTAGAATCATCAAGGTCATCAAAACAAGAAAAGTCTGAGAAACTGTCAACAACCAAGAGGAGCCTAAGGAGACATGACCACTAAGTGCAATACGGTGTCCTGGCTGGAATTCAGGAACAGAAAAGGGATATTAAGGAAAAACGTTTTAAAAATTGAAAAAAGTATGGACTTTAATTAATAGTAATTATGGTAAATGTACCATACTAATAAAAAACAATAATAGGAGAAACTGTTTAAGGGTTATATGGTAACTCTCTATACTATCTTCTAAATTTGTACTTCTAACTCTATTCTAAAATAAAAATTGTATTTAAACAAAACAAACAAGCTGAGGAGACAGTAGATTCCAGAATATTCTGATCAGATTGAAGGAGGCATTACTATCAGGAGAGAGAAGACTGAATTCACAGGCCAAAAGAATTAAGAAAGCTGGGGTGAGGCCAATAGAAACATGTTGTTTCAGTTTTCCCAAAATAAAGATGGTGTAAGAACTATCTTTAGTTTTACGTTAGAGGTTTTAATCAAGAGGGAAGCAAGGAGAAGAATGGTTGGCATTTATGCTGTATATGAAAGGTTGTCAAATCAAACTGAAACATTGAGATTTTTCTGCATGACTTGTCTAATCCTCATAAAGTTGGTGCTCTCAATGGTGTCTAACAAACCAGCCAAGCTGTGTGTGGAATGGTGGGCAGCCTCCTGAGGAAGAGATGTCATGGGTGGGGAGGCTGGTATTGCAGAGTAGGGAGGTGCCCAGTGGAAGGATCATAAACCCAACAGCCCAGCCTAAGGAGGAGAAAATCCTAACCTTTTGGCAGATTGTAAAAAAAACTCTTTCTTGAACAGAATACCTTCTTTTTTCAGACAGCCAGGGCACATATTTTTTATATCCTCACTGAGGGTACATAAGCAACCCAGATCAAATTGTATTGCAAAAATAAGCCACAACAAAAATGTATGAAAAGCAAAGGCAAAGTCAGTTTCAGTATTCCAGTTTAATAAAATAGAATTTTTTAAAAAAAAGAAGGTATACCACAAAAACCCTAAACTCAAGAAAAATGGCAGGTGATCATTCTCAAAATCCTCAAAACAAAGAATACATTAGAAATTAAGTGGAATATTTCCTAATGATAAAAATATCAATTCACTTAGAAGTCATGAAAATTCTAAATTGCATGCCCCTAATGTTTGAGAAAATTCTATTTTCATTTACCTAGAAAATGCAATATAATACAGAACTTTGGAATACACATTGCAAAAAAATTCAAAACTAAAGGAAGAAATAGACGAATCCATAAACATATTGATATCCCTCTTTCAGTATTTGGTAGAATAAGAGACAGAAAATGTTAGTAAAGACGAAGAGGGTTTGAACAACAGTATCAACCAACTTATAATTTACATTTAAAGAACATGGCATCCAACAAATACAAAATATACTTTCTTTTCAAGTGCAAGTAGAACATTCAGCGGGATATATACCTCACACTGGTCAAAACAAGTCTCAATAAGTACCAAAGGACTGAAATAAAACTGAAATATTGTCTGACTACAATAAATTGAATTAGAAATAAAAGCACCATATATGAGAGAGAGAGAAAAAAAGAGAGAGAGAAAAGGAGGAGGGAGGGAAGAAAGGATCACAAGGCAAATTAGAAAGTATTTCAAAATGGATGGTAATATAACAAAATATCAAAACTTACTGTATAGAGTTAAAACAGTGCTTAGAGGGAGATATATAGATTTAGATGCTTAGATTTTTATTTTCTTCTTTTACCATTTCTCTAAAATACAAAGTGAAAAAGAGAGAAGAGAAGAGAAATTAGGAGGTAAGGGTATTCTTATATATTTCTTCTCAGCAATATTATTAGAGAATTCCTTTTTGCTGGGTGTGTGTGTATCTTCCTCCTTTTTTGTGATTCAGTGGAATATGGTCATAATTGATGTTTTATTTAGTATTTTTTTATTTCAAATATTTATATAAAAATAGGAAGTTAATGAAGAGCCAGTGTTTATTTTGTTTTATTTTTTTAAATATTTTATTTATTTATTTGACAGAGAGATAGTGAGAGAGGAAACACAAGCAGGGTGAGTGGGAGAGGGAGAAGCAGGCTTCCCCCTGAGCAGGGAGCCTGACATGGGGCTCAATCCCAGGACCCTGGGATCATGACCTGAGCCTAAGGCAGACGCTTAACAGACTGAGCCACCCAGGTGCCCCACCAATGTTTATTTTAGCCATGTACTCACAAACCACCTTTAGAAAAATCTTAACATGATTTCATATTCATTTACATCATTTTTTCAAAGACAGAAAAAGTACAACTACCATCAAAGAATGTTGTGTAAACCTTTCCAATTTCTTCCCCAGGCAGAATTAATTAATATTAGCATTTACCATGCTCATTTGTTTTTGATTATATGTATACATCCATCAGTATTTCAAAATGTTGTGTTTTAAACTTCATGGAAATGGTCTTAGTGAATATGTCATTTTGCAATTTGCCCCTTTTTTGTTCAAAATACTGTTTTTGAGATTTAACATATTCATAAATATAGCCACATGTGTGTTTCTTTAGAGAATATACCTGGGTCATAAATTATGTTAATATTCATCTCTACTTGATATTGCCAAAAATAATCCTCTATTTCTTTGCTACTCTTCAGAATGTATGAATGTCTCAGATACCTATTCCTGATCAAGACTGCTCTCACCAGACCATTTCCATCCTGATGGATGTGAATAATTATTTTATTGTGGCATTAATTTGCAATTTCATGATTACTAATATATTTGGACTTTTCCTTGTTTAACCGTTCTGATGTCCTTTTCTGTGAATACTCTGTGTTTATCTCATCATTTTTTTCCTATTGGATACTCTGTGGGTTTTTTTAAGATTCATTTATTTGAGAGAAAGAGAGAGAGAGAGCCTGCGCACACTTGTGGTGGGAGGGGCAGAGGGAGAGGGATGGAGAGAATCTCAAGCAGACTGCCCCCTAAGCTCAGAGCCCAATGTGGGGCTTGATCCCATGACCCTGAGATACTGACTGGAGTCGAAACCAAGAGTCAGAGGCTTAACTGAC